CATATCTTCTTGCCCAGGCTTTCCCTGGCCCAAAATATTAGTCTTTGTTTTAATTTGTTTGAATTCCCTGTTTTTAATTGTGCTTATATGCTTTTATTCAACTGCTTTGCTGGTTTTATGCTATATTTGTGATTTAGTTGTTTTTAGTTCTGTTTTTTATGTTGGGTGTCACACACACACACACACACACACACACACATTAAGCAGCTTATATTTGCTTTTAAGTAAATAAATGATACAGCGGGACTCTTAAGGCTTAAAAGTGGAAGCGAAGGAAATGCAGTGGATGGGACAGCAGCTGTCAGAATTTGGGATGGATGCCTTTTGGAATATCTTTCACCTTTCCTCATTTCTTTCTTGCTCCTCTGAAATGTCATCTGGAGTCGCTCGAAATGGATCACAGTTCATGGTAATTGTTATTATCTGCAGTGCAATTTACATTATTATTTGTCATTGTGTTATCCGTGTAACCTTTCATTGAATCTCCTCATTTATCATTGTGGAACGCAAGTGTGATTTATGACCGTGTATCATTTTCACGATTGTATCATTCTTTATTACATGTATCACAATTCATGAGTTTCTTTAAAGAGTTCTTCCAAGTCAAGGCCAGCATCAGCCATTGTCTGGCTACTGAACTTGAAAACTCAAATGATGTTTATGCCTCTGGTCCTGTCCAAAATGGCTGGAGCATGGCAAAGCAAACTACTGAAGTCATTTATTTACATTAAAGTTCCTTGGGTACATTGTATTATTTTTTAACTTATCAAATATGTGGCATTCTTCCTATGCCGAGGGAAGAGGGAAACTTTGGAACTCAAAAGGTTGTCTAACAGCACATATTTCCATGCTTTACTTTGCTGCATATTCTGCGACTTCAAATCTCTGCAGGGGTTCTCCCACTAAAGCAGGCATCGGCAAACTTGTCCCTCCAGATGTTTTGGGACTACAGCTCCCATCACCCCTAGCTAACAGGACCAGTGGTCAGGGATGATGGGAGTTGTAGTCCCGAAACATCTGGAGGGCCGAGTTTGCCTATGCCTGCACTAAAGAGTACTTGCCTCAGACTTAGATTTTGGCATCCAGGAATTCTCCTTCCATACCTATTTTTTTCCCTTGCCACCAACCTGGAATGTGTCTGGGAACTCTGAGAAAACCTCATGCTTATCTGCCTGGGGAACAGGGCATGTGTATGTTTGTGTAGAAACTAGCTGCCTGTACAGAGGCTTATTTCAGGTTTTGTTAGTGAAGGCTCAGAGGCAGTGTGACTAGTAGGAAGGGGAGAGAAAGCTTGATGGTGCTAAGCAGCAACAGCTGGGGAACATGCCTCCAAACCCTTCTGGGCAAGAGATGCAGATGGTGATGGGGTCAAGTGCTATGTGGATGCCTGGGTCTTGCCTTACTAGGAGTGCCAAGAATGGAGTCAGCCAGGCAGCAACCACATAATTGCACAACACAGGCTCCAGACAACTGTTGCTTCCACTGCGGCCCTGTATCTTCCTCCAGTAAGGAGAAGGTGGCTTCCTCTTGCTCTTGGTTATTCCTCACTGTTGGTGGATGGGTCATCACCTTGCCCACAGGGATGAAGTCCAAATTCTTGGATTCAAACTCCTACCAGATCCAGCCCGCATCATCAATGATCAGGGATGCTGGGAGTTGTAGTCCATGGAAATCTGGTGGGTTGCAGATTCCACACCCCTGCCCTACCACTTCCTAACCCATCACACAACTGCTGTTGGTACTGCCATAAACACCTGATGCTGTGATTCCTCAAGCTAAGTTATTTCGCAAGGTTTATACAAAACACTGAGAAATACACACACTGTACTGCAGCGCCTCAAAATGGTATGCTTGAAAGTGCCCCCATCTCAGAGCCTCTTTGCGGGTGGAATCCATATATCAGGGAGAAATAACTTTTCTACAGATTGCGTTTCAGTGTGGCTACAAGGAAGGCCCCAGCCTCATTTGCCCAACCCAACTGCAAAATAAGCCCCATAAAGCACATCTATTTTATCTAACCCAACTTCTTAAACCGTCTAGTCCTTGTGAAACATGACTTTAATGCTGATGAAGACAAACAGCCCGAAGGGTGAGGTGGTGGAGAGATGCACTTTCCCCAATGTTGCCTGATGAGGTCCCTTTTGACTCCTTGAAGGATGTATCTGCACAGTGTGCTTTCATTCTTAGAGGTCTTGTGAAAACAAAGCCCAGGGTGTCCTCATTGCTCTTCCTTTTCTGTGGTTTTAAATCCTCCGGATTAAAGTATTTTTCAAGAAATAACATGTGGAGTGTTCAGGTTTTGCTCAGCCTCTAACAACACTGGAAAAACGCAAGAGGTAATGTAGCTTCCTGCATCTGGAATGAGCAGCTGCTAATTATTATTCCAAAATGTCAGACGCCATGCAAGACAGACATTTAATATGGCAGTGGGAGGAAACTGATCAGTCTCTAGTCTGTGTGTCTGAAGGCAGCATCGCCCCTCAGTCTAGCATCTGTACATTATACAGGAGCCACAAAATCCCATTGGGGAGGAAGGGTTCCTTCTATTACATGAATATGATTATTTTTTTTAAGGTGTTGAAGTCTCAGCTGGTGCAAACCAGTTTAATCTTAGCAGTGCTGTATTGATTAACTCCAGAAAAGGATGCTGGCTTGCTTTGCCAGGACCGTTCATTAACTGATTAAAAATCAGAGTCAGGAGGAAGGAAATAAAAGGATTGGCGGAAGAATACTGCTGAATGAATTGCTGTTATGTTGGTTTTACAAAAATGTCGGAAGGGGCACAAAATGAAAGTGCTAACTTTTGGCTCTGTTTATCCCCAAACCAGTCCTACCACTGGGCAAAGTAAGGTGACTGCCTCAGGTGGTAGATTTTTTTTTGAGCGGGGCAGCAGCCCATTCCCATTCCTGCTAAGTCTTTCCTGGGCTGCTGCCCCTGAGTCCTATAGATATACCTATATTCTTGAATAGGGAAGGGCAAATCTGTGAATTTTGGTTTCTCTCAGTTTCTCATTTTTCCAATCAAGTTCAGTTTTCCACATCAGTTTGCACCTATTATTGTTGTTGATGTTCATAGCGCATTTGGCACTTTGGTGTGAATTTCTCCCCGTTTGTCTTTACAACTTTGCAAAGCAATGCAGCTGATTTCATTGTCGAAAATTATTACTATTTCTGTTACTATTTTACTGCTGTTATTGAAAGGTAAGCAGGGTTAGAAATTGTTGCCTTGTGCATTGCTCACTTGCTTGTAAAGGCTCATAGTAGTAAAGAAGGATGTTAGCTTATGATGCAACACTTGAAAAGAACTCAACACACAATCACTTCAATTAACTCACCAGTAGGACTGAAAAGCACATAGGTAATTGGATCAATGAGGCAAACGCTTTTGCTTTGGAGCTGTTGCAGTGCATCCGGAGATTGGAAGCAAAGTGGGTTGCTGACATTTTATGACACAGCTAGTATACAGAATGTGAACAGATCCTGAACATGCGTGAAGATCCCTTGACTGCCATCAGTGCTGGTACCTTTGATTGCACTGTTAAGTGAAGTGTCACAATATTGTAATCTCACACCGGAAAGGAATTTGCTGTTGTCATCATCACCACTGTCATTGCAGGGAGTCAGCATGGTGTAGTGGTTAAGAGCGGTGAACTCGTAATCTGGTGAACCGGGTTCGCTTCCCTGCTTCTCCACATGCAGCTGCTGGGTGACCTTGGGCTAGTCACACTTCTCTGAAGTCTCTCAGCCTCACTCACTTCACAGAGTGTTTGTTGTGAGGGAGGAAGGGAAAGGAGATTGTTAGCCACTTTGAGACTCCTTAAGGAGAGTGAAAGGTGGGTTATCAAATCAAAACTCCAACTCCTCCAACAACTCCTCCTCCTCCTCCTCCTCCTCCTCCTCCTCCTCCTCCTCCTCCTCCTCCTCCTCCTCCTTCTTCTTCTTCTTCTTCTTCTTCTTCTTCTTCTTCTTCTTCTTCTATAGCTCATGCTTGGCCAACATGGCATCCTCTAGTTTTTGTGGGACTCCAACTCCCATCAGCTCCTGTCAGGGTGACCAATAGCCAGGGATGATGGGAGTTGTAGTCCAGTAGCATATGGAGGCGCGGGTGGCGCTGTGGGTAAAAGCCTCAGCACCTAGGGCTTGCCGATTGAAAGGTCGGCGGTTCGAATCCCCGTGGCGGGGTGCGCTCCCGTTGTTCGGTCCCAGCGCCTGCCAACCTAGCAGTTCGAAAGCACTCCCGGGTGCAAGTAGATAAATAGGGACCGCTTACTAGTGGGAAGGTAAACGGCGTTTCTGTGTGCGGCTCTGGCTCGCCAGAGCAGCGATGTCACGCTGGCCACGTGACCCGGAAGTGTCTCCAGACAGCGCTGGCCCCCGGCCTCTTAAGTGAGATGGGCGCACAACCCTAGAGTCTGTCAAGACTGGCCCGTACGGGCAGGGGTACCTTTACCTTTACCTTTAGCATATGGAGGGCACAACTTTGACTATTACCGCTATAGCTAATATAGCTCAGGAGGTTGTGGACTCTCCTTCCTTGGAAGTTTTTAAGCAGAGGTTGGATGGCCATTTGTCATGGATGCTTTAGCTGAGATTCCTACATTGCAGGGGGTTGGACCAGATGATCCTTGGGGTCCCTTCCATCTCTACAATTCTATATCATTATTTATTATTTCTATTTTTATTTCGTAACATTGATAGAGTGCTTGATTGTAAAAACAAAAAACAACCACTTGAAGTATTTTACAAAAGGTAAAACAGTAAAATCAAGAAAAATCCACAACCCTACTTTAAAACACGCAACAGTCAAAACAGATTAAAATAACCTTGACTTTCTAAGCATCTGGCTAGGCTTGTCTGAAGAAGAATGCTTTTGGCAGGTGCCAAGAGGAGTACAGTGAAGGCACCTGCTTGATCTCAATAGGCAGGTAGTTGTTAGTTATACTAATAGATATAATTATTCATTCAGTCACTATAATATTAGGATATGTATTTATCTTCAGAATTGCAGGCTGCTTTTGCACTCCAGAGGATGCTCCAAGATGCTTACAGCATGGCAGTTAAAATGCAAAGGTAAAGTAATGTAAATGCATTATTAACAATTGATAGTGTAATCCTATGGATCTTCATTAGATGTTGAAATGGAATAAGTATAAGGACTAAACTTGTGGCTCCATTTAATGCTTTCATAAGAGTTGACTGACTACAGTGGTACCTCGGGTTACAGACACTTCAGGTTACAGACTCCGCTAATCCATAAATAGTACCTCGGGTTAAGAACTTTGCTTCAGGATGAGAACAAAATCGTGCGGCGGCGGCAGGAGTCCCCATTAGCTAAAGTGGTATCTCAGGTTAAGAACAGTTTCAGGTTAAGAACTGACCTCCAGAACGAATTAAGTTCTTAATCTGAGGTACCACTGTAGTTGGAAGTTTGAAGTATGCAAAAACACACACACCACAGTTTGTAATTACATGACTGGGTATTATATTCTATTGTCAAACTCTGGGGGGAAAGCCTTTACAAGTCAAATTGTGAAATTGGCTGCTGATGAGGTTTAGAGCAAAATGCACTTAGCAGCCTTGTCCTCACTAGGTTCTAACAAACAGGTAAATGTACCTAGGGAAAATAATGGAACCCCTGTCATATCCAAGTCAACGAATGCATTGGTTCTTCAAGGAAGAAAAAAACTATGTAACACGCTTATATTTGCTCAAGCCTTTCCACATGGTTTTTCCTTTACCTGAAGGAGATTTTAAACAAGCCGGCACCCATCCACAGCCTGAAGTGGTAACCAGGGGTTTGGGTTGGATTTTGGCTGTGTACACACCACACATTTGAAGCACATGATTTCCCACCAAAAATCCTGGGAGCTGTAGTTTGTGAAAGGTGCTGGGGATTGTACCTCGATGAGCAAAAGGGCAGCCTTTGAGAAGGAGAGGAGATGCTGCCACTGCTGGGGCTTCCTAAGAGAGGAAGCATGGAGGATCAACAGCAAGCAAGGAGGACGGAAGCTGCTGCAGTGGCGGTGAAGGCAGCGAGCTGAGCAGTGAGGTTGGAGAGGCCAGCAGTTGGTATGGTGGCTTGGGGAGCAAAATACGCTCCACTAAAACCTGTTCCCAGGGCCACAGGCCCCCCTTGCTCCAGCCACGTGATACCACTGATGGAGCTTTGCTTTCCTTTGTTTGTTTTAATGGGGCAAGCAAATTTCTATAAAATTTCTTAGCCATCAACATCTCTGCACCAGCCGCTTAAAAAAAAAAATTAGTTCTCACAAACGGACACACTAATTTTCGTGGCTAATTGCTCCTTTTATTTGCCTTGGGCTGGGGACATTAGCAGAATCCTTAAAATAAAAGGACAGGGGAGTCTTTCAGCAGGCATGCATATCAAACACACACTTTCTTCACTGAGGTTTCTGCAAATGGGCCCGGAGAGAAATCACTTGTTTTGTCTCGCCTGCACACTCTCTAGTTAGCAAGTTCGATCAATCAAAAGGCAAACAAATGAGAAGCAGGGGAGGGAGACCCTTTCTGCAGAGATGAAAATTTAATCGTCTCATTTCTACCCATGCCGATAAATGCAAAACAGCTACAGAAATCTCCTTCTGCAAAGGGTTTGTTTTAATTTTGTGGCTGGGGAATGTGGGACATCTACACTTTGCACAAAGAACACATGAACATCAGAAGGTCCCTGCCAGAACAGGCCAATGGCCCCATCTTATCCTACATCCTGTTCCTACAGTGAGAGCCAGTGTGGTGTAATGGTTAAGAACGATAGTCTCGTAATCTGGGGAACCGTGTTCGCGTCCCCGCTCCTCCACATGCAGCTGCTGGGTGACCTTGGGCTAGTCACACTTCTCTGAAGTCTCTCAGCCCCACTCACCTCACAGAGTGTTTGTTGTCGGGGAGGAAGGGAAAGGAGAATGTTAGCCGCTTTGAGACTCCTTAGGGTAGTGATAAAGCGGGATATCAAATCCAAACTCTTCTTCTTCTTCTTCTACAGATACTCCAACCAGATACTCCAATGGGAAGCCCAAAAGCAAGACTGGGGTGCAAAAGGGCTCTGGTTACATTATTCTGTTCTTAACAGCTGCTGATAGACCCATCTCAGGATTATTATTTTTCAGCCGAAACTCACCAGCACTCAGTTTCGGCACCTCTCAGGTGGGCACCATTGCCATTACAAGAGAACAAGGCATTCATGGTGAGTTCCGGCACCACTTTTTCTAGCACTGCCCATCACCCATGAATTTGTCACAATTTAAAAAGCCATTTCATGCTACTATTCACCCCATACCTTCCAGCATTGCATTCCATATCACAATTACCGTTTCTATGCATTCCAGTCATCTGCAGAAATCTAGCAGATTCTCTTCCAGGAGAAAGATAGAGAGGGGGGAAATGTCCTCGTCTGCAGAGTATAATTAATTTCATCCAAGTGATTTTTTATCTATTGTATTCCACAGGATCTGCCCTGTACGTATTTGCGGATATTATTATTTTTAATGCTACATTGTTTTGCTGAAAAGTAATATTGTTCTCTTCAACTCGGTTACAAATTACAAGCCTTCAGGGGGATTAGTCAAGAGCGTTCCATAATAAAACCTAAAAAGAATTTGGTTGGGGGGGGGGAGAGAAAGGGAGAGGATCAGCTGGTGATTAATCACTTTCTGCTTTCAAACACGGTCTCTCTCTCTCTTCTCTCTTCCCCCCTTTGCTTTCTCTCCTGCCCACTTCTCATGCACACACTTCTGCCTCCTGAGACAAAGCTTCTGTTTATCAGGAGCTTGGCAATAACAATGTACATTGTGGAGGGGGGAATGGCAAGATAAAGCAGAGCCTCTTTATTAAACCGCTGCAGGCAAAGCAAATCACCCAAAGGACAGAAATTGCCAGCGAGGCCGCCGCCCGCTTTGTTCTGCAGTGCCAAGCCAGGACCCAGCCTCCCGTGCTCAAATGATAATTAAAAACAACAAAAGTACCTCTCGGCATATCTTTATTTTTTGACTTTCAATTTAATGTTTGCCTTTTAAAAACTGGAAGAAAGCAGGTGTTCCGGGACAATTTTAAGTCCTTACATGAGAATGCGTCATGCTCGTCCTGACGGGTTATGAAGGGAACAGGAAGCTGGGCTAGGAAGCTGCCTTCTACAGAGTTAGACCATTGGTCCATCTATCTCAGGTTTCCTCAATCTCAGCCCTCCAGATGTTCTGAGACTACAGTTCCCATCACCCCAACCACTGGTCCTGCTAGCTAGGGACCATGGGAGTTGTAGGCCAAAAACATCTGGAGGGCCGAGGTTGAGGAAGCCTGATCTACCTTAATCCTGTCTACACTGATTGTCAGAGGCCACTCCAGGGTTCCAGACAGCATTCTCTCCCAGCCCTATCTGGAGATATTGGGGAGGAGAAACTGGGACCTTCTGCAAGCAAAGCAGATGCTCCCCAGAAGCCCATCCTTTCCTTCTTTGGCCTGAACCAACAGGGATACAGAAAAGTTTTATTTCCCCCCTCCATCTCTCATAACACTAGAATTTGTTGACATCTAATGAATCTGAATGTTGGAAGAATGTTTGGAGATTCAGGGCTGATAAAAGTGCATAGCTAAACTGTGGGACTTGTTAAGAATTCCACTCCACCTTAAGGGACAGATGTGTGGAATTGTTGCATGTCACATGTCTGGTTACATTCCAGCACAGTATGCTGGGAACTTCCGTTTGTGTATTGCTTTCTGTTTTGCTTTGGACACGAAGGAGATCAGACATGTTTCCTTTTGTCCTGCTCTACACTGAATAAACCTGCTTGTAAATATGCTCACACAGCTTCTCATGCCACTTCTGTTTGCACAGTGTTTTCTCTACTGAATAGCGTGCTTCTAAAGCCTGGGCCGCAGATTTATGCTGCACCAAGGACTGGAGTTCGCCTGGCACACCAGCCGGTGGGCTGGAACCAACTGGGGGCCTGCCAGTTGCCCCAAAAAGTTTCCCCCCCTCCATCTCTCATAACACTAAAACTTGTTGACATCTAATGAATCTGAATGTTGGGAGATTCGTGGCTGATAAAAGTGCATAGCTAAACTGTGGAACTGGCTCCCAGAAGTGATGGCAGTGATGCCAACCAACCTATATGGCTTTAAAAGAGGGTTAGAGAAATAAATGGAGGAAGGGGTTATCAGTGGCTATTGGCTGTGATGGCTAGGCTCGGCCTCTAAAGCTGGAGGCAGAAATGATTCTGAATGCCAGTTGCTGGGAAACCACAGGAGGGAAGTGTCAGAATACGCCCCTGGGATGAGACAAACCTCTCCGGACATCTTCCTGGTGTTGCGCAGCTCTGGGATGTCCATAAATCAACAGTCCCAGGATGCTCCAGCGACACATAGCAGATGCCTATGTGCAAGCATGCTCAGCAGAGATCAGTAGAAATGAAGTGGAGAATTGTGTGCTCATTCTAAGCTTTTATTCAGCAATATTTACAGGACAAAGTGATCATGGCGTCCTCTCACTCCAGCTCCGAGAGAGAACAGAAAGTGAAAAGTACAAAAATACAGTAGAGCAGAAGAGATAAGGCTAGCTTCCGTTCTCAGGCTTTTCAGCCTAGGAAAGTAAACGTGGACATGTGATGTAACAATCACAAATCCAGCAACAGAGGAGTAAAATGCTCTTGTGCATGAATCCTGCTTGTGGGTGTCCCACAGGCATCTGTTTGGCCACTGTGAGAACAGGATGCTGGATGAGAATGGACCATTGGCTTGACCCAGCAGCAGTGGCAGGCCTTGGGGTTGTTGTAATGTTTGGAAGCCCCACCTGAAGCACTCAGAAGTCAAGCTAGGGCTTTATTTCAGTTACATTCTTGCATCATCATAAAGCAGTCTTCTTACATCTGGGATTCAGCAAGCACAGGTGGGATTACATACAATGGAGAAGACAGTGGAGGAGTCAACCATGCCTCTTTATAGGTAAAGGTAAAGGTAAAGGTACCCCTGCCCGTACGGGCCAGTCTTGACAGACTTTAGGGTTGTGCGCTCATCTCACTCTATAGGCCGGGAGCCAGCGCTGTCCACAGACACTTCCAGGTCACGTGGCCAGCGTGACAAGCTGCATCTGGGGAGCCAGTGCAGCACACGGAACGCCGTTTACCTTCCTGCCAGTAAGCGGTCCCTATTTATCTACTTGCACCCGAAGGTGCTTTCGAACTGCTAGGTTGGCAGGCGCTGGGACCGAACGACGGGAGCGCACCCCGCTGCGGGGATTCGAACCGCCGACCTTTCGATCGGCAAGTCCTAGGCGCTGAGGCTTTAACCCACAGTGCCACCCGCGTCCCTCATGCCTCTTTATACTATAGACCAATTAAGCAATGCCCCATGTCTCATGATGCTGACTCATCACATAATGCTGAATCAACATTTCCACTTAGCACAGAATGTTTGATACCCACAACATTCCAACAGGAGTCTCAAATTTCAGTGGAACCCTGCGCAATGCCAAAATCCAGGCACCCTGCCTCTTGCCTTCAATTCAACATCATAATTGCAGAACCCACTGGAGTACTTCCAAGGCTCTGCACCCAGTGTGACCGAACTGCCTCAGCCAGCAAGCTGTTATGTTCTTAATGCATGTTAAGAACATGTTATGTTCTTAATGCATCTGATGATGGACTTCCTGGTCTTTTTATCTGCCCAGATTTGCAAGGATTGGGGCAAGTTATTAAAATCTGTATGGGCCAGAATATAACATTAACTGGACAAAACATTAACTGAACCAATTCAGGAACAAGTGGAGTCTAGGATTTCTGCCCATACTAGTGGAACTACACTAACTGCTTTGCAACTAAAACTTGGTGCATCACCATAGGTAAATGTAAAACTAATCACCCCAGTGCACAATTGTAGCACAAACTAGGGATCCATTGTCTCAGATTTGGGCCTGCTTTGGGAGACGCTTGCCAAAAGGAATGGTCACTGCTGTTGAATTTGATACAATAGATCCCAGCTGGGGCAATTGCTTCAATTTTAAAGCAGCCTTCAACCTTTCCAAAGCATCTGTGCATGAACCGTAAGCAAGCTTCTGGCTCCTGCTTCATCTCTATTGCAGTTATCGGCCACATTCGCTGCTTCACTACCAGCGTCTGAGAGGGAAGGGTGCTTCCTCATTGTTATCAAATTGCTACAGGTTCTCTCTGCACACTCCAGCAAGCACACTTCATTTGTTATACATGCATTTTTATCTCGCCTTGGCCGGAGGCTCTCCCTTTCTCTCGGTTCCAGATGCCAGAGCCCTATGTTAAAGTTTGCTGGGAGACGGCAGTGGTGTCAAGTGAGATGTGTTGCTGGCTGCCTGCCTTACAGAAGCTAAGGTAGATAAATTCTTCTAATATCTACATAGCCTTCTGTGATGATTTAGCCAGAATGTTATGATGAAACCCTTCTTCAGAGAGAATGGGAGTATTATACACAATGCATTGGGTTTTTTGGGGGATCTCAGCAACATATCCTCAGTGGACCTATGGAACACCCTCTCACTTGGACCTCATCACCACCAGCAGCAGCCAGAAGGAGAGGCCACATGAGTAAGCTGAGAGTAGCAGTTGCTGCCACTTCTCTTCATTAACACTGCAGTCTCTTTGTTCAGCTTCTGTATCCTTCTAAGATGCAAAGGGTGAGTGAACAGTAAGGTAAGGTAAGTTAAGGTATGGTAAGGTAAGGTACCCCTGACGGTTAAGTCCAGTCATGAACAACTCTGGGGTTGTGGCGCTCATCTTGCTTTACAGGCCAAGGGAGCGGGCATTTGTCTGCAGACAGTTTTTCCGGGTCATGTGGTCAGCATGACTAAGCCGTCTCTGGCGCAACGGAACACCGAAACCAGAGCAGTGCACGGAAACACCGTTTACCTTCCCGCTGGAGTGGTACCTATTTATCTACTTGCACTTTGACGTGCTTTTGAACTGCTAGGTTGGCAGGAGCTGGGAGTGAGCAATGGGAGCTCACCCCATCACGGGGATTCGAACTGCCGACCTTCTGATCGGCAAGCCCAAGAGGATCAGTGGTTTAGACCACAGCACCACCCGCATCCCAAGTGAACGGTAGTATAAAACAATACCTGATGCTGAGAAATGACCTTGGCAGAGGCATATTGCCTGCAGGTTGCATAAGAAGGCCTACTGTCTGGACTCCATTGTTCTGGCCCCACCAATCCTAATGGGGACCTGCTGCCACATAGAGAGAGAGAGAAAGAGAAAGAGAAAGAGAGAGGGTGAGGGAGGGAGAGTGCAACATGTTGTTTTTGTTGCTGTTGTGCTAAAGTGGGCACATAAAGTCCCTAGATATCAAATAGATATCTCTGGAAATCATAGATGTCAGGGGCTCAGGAGCAGAGGGACAGGAAAGGGAGGAATTAGAGACCGAGGGGGAGGAATCCGAGGGAGAAGTTAGCGATGATAGCCGCCCGAGGTCTCTAAGTCTCTCCAGCGAATCGGAGGATTCACAGAAAGGGGCTCCCGTGGTCAGAGCTAGGGGGTTGCCAGAGGGAACACCCCAGGAAGGAGGGGCCAGAGGGGACTCAGAGAGCAGCAGTTGGAAATCGGGACCAGCTTCCCCACCGGAGAGCAGTAGGGGGGAGGAGTCCCAGGCATCGGCATCAGGCAGCTTTCCGTCAGCGGAAGGACATGAGTCAGGGTTAGCCACGCCTGCATCAGAGAGTGAGGAGAAGGTCAAAAGGAAGGTCGGAGGCAGCGCGCGCACGCCAAGTTCAAATGTACAAGAGGGTGGCGCGATGAGCAGCCCGGATAGGGAGCCAGGTCCTAAAGCCCGCCGAAGGGAGGGCGAAGAGTCCGAGGGGTCCGCTTCCGAAGCGTCCAGGAAGGAAGGGACCCCGGGGGGTGGTAGGACCCAGAGGCGGAAGGAGAGACGGAAAAGGTGGAGTAAGGCTAGAGTCTTAAGCTGGTGTACAGGGGGCGGAGACTCAGACGGAGCTTCGTCGGTCTAGGCTCTAGACGTAGAGATGCACGCTAGGGTTTGAAAATGGAAACTATGCTTCAATAAAGACTTTTGTACAGTTCAACTGGCTAGCGTTGGTCCTCTGTGAGCTGGGACCTGGAGGCAGTCTCTGACAATAGATATAGAATCTATGAGTCTATTGCATCTTCTAGTCAGTGGCTCAGTCAGTAGAGTGTGAGACTCTTAATCCCAGTGTCATGGGTTGCAGCTCCACATTCGACAGAAGATTCCTGCATTGCAAAGGGTTGGATTAGATGACCCTTGTGGTCCCTTCCAGCTCTACAATTCTATGAATCAGAATGCAAAATGAATACAGTTGCAGAATTAAGCAATCTCTTCTTAAGCCCACTGTAGGGGGGGGGGAGAGAGAGAGAGAGAGAGAGGGAGAGGGAGAGGGAGAGAGACATGCTGTCAGAATGCCTCAAACTTTCCCTCTCGTTAGCTGGAAAGGAAAGAATCAGAGGGATTAGATTGGCCTTAGCATTCGACTGGCATTTCCAAAAGGTGAAATTGTATTTGCTGGTTTTATCTTTGGTTTGTCTGATAAAGCCCCCCCCCCCCCCCGAATCCCTTCTGGAAAGGAGTGTGTAACAGAGAAAACATAAGCACCACACAAGACATTCCTGGTTATTTGACAGCTGAGACATTCACCCAGAATGCTAAGCAGAAAGAAGCATGTTTTTATTATTATTATTTTATTTTATTTTATTTTATTTATTTATTTAACCCAGCCACTCTGTGTGGCTTCCAAAAGAGATTAAGAATACATTAAAATACATTTAATACAGAGATTAAAAATACATTAAACCAAAAACCAAGAAAAAAGGTAAGGAAGGATGGTTGCTGGGGACAAGGCCTGACAGTGTTCAGTTAGCCAATACCTTAAGCTCATTACAGAGGAGGCAACCACCCCCTCTAAAGCTGATGTAAATGTATTGAGAACCTTAAAGAGAACTCAAAATATCCTGTTATGACTAGCAAAGCTTCCTTCTATCCATATAAGGGGAAACAGCAGCATCAGAGGATACCATATTGTTATCCTGGTCAGCACAACAGTAGCCAACTGCAGAAGAATGGGAGAACAGGTATTAAGGTCTCCTGTCACCAGTGAATATATAGCTGGATTCTGTACTGGGGACCCTACATTGTGTGAATCAGTCTTTGAAATCCCTCCTGATACTCCTGCATTCACATCAGGCAGCTTTCTAGGGATGCAGAATAGCCTGCACTCATATGCACGTAGCATTACACCAACACACCCTTGAATAAGACTCAAGAAACTGTGATGGAAAAGTTATATTCAAATATAAGAACAAAGAGCATCTGCAAACACCCAAACAAACAAAACTGGCTGAATAAAAATATAGTCCAGACAAGGAAGTTCCCTAAGGTGGGACAGATTGGGTCCATTTCCACTCCTGGGCATGTTTACAGGTACCAGCTATGGTTCTGCAGCAAAGGGTTGAAAGGCATTCTTCCTCCTTGTCAGGAGAACATTTGAGTATATAATGGTTTTTGCCCAAAGATGGAAAGAAGATGTAGTACCAACCAAGGAAGAGTGGCTAATTAAATTAAAGGATTATGCCAAAATGGCAAGGTTAACAGGTGTAATTAAAAGAAACACCAAGAATATTTTATTATTATTATTATTATTAAAGAAATTGAAGAATGGCTTAAAGATGGAGTGATGTGGAAAATGCATATGAAAATTTAAACTAAAAAGGAACCACAAAAGTGGGAAGGGAAGTCAAATACAGTTGTACCTTGGAAGTTGAACGGAATCCAGTACGGAAGTCTGTTCGACTTCCAAAATGTTCAGAAACCAAAGCGTGAGTTCTGATTTGGTTTAGGAAGCCGTGGAAGCCCCGCTTCAGGTTACAGACTCCGCTAACCCAGAAATAGTACTTCGGGTTAAGAACTTTGCTTCAGGATAAGAACAGAAATCGGGCTCCGGCGGCACGGCAGCAGCAGGAGGCCCCATTAGCTAAAGTGGTGCTTCAGGTTAAGAACAGTTTCAGGTTAAGTACGGACCTCCGGAACGAATTAAGTACTTAACCTGAGGTACCACTGTATGCGCATTAGAAATGTATGTTATTTGTGTTTTTTTGTAATTTCTATGTTTGTAATTTTTTGAAAAACTGTATAATAATAATAATAATATTTTTTTTTAGAAAAGAGAGAGAACCTTTGAGTATATGAACCTGAGAAGTGCACTGTTGCCTGGCTGAGTCAACATTCACCCCAGTGCACCTGACAAGCCTGAAGTGCACCCTTGAAGGACCTAAGACCAAGACAATGTAGGGTGACAAAGAGTTCCCTTGACCCAATAATACCCCCAAATCACCCCACCAAATCTTAACTCTTTCTTTCCTGACTGGGCTGAAAGCCAATTAATCTAATTTTTAAAATGCCAGTCCAAGAACAAGACTCCTAGCAGTATGGAGTAGATGAAAAAGAGGAGTTACCAAGGTCGATCAGGGGCTTTCCCCAAAAATCCTATTCAGCCCCCTAACAGGCAACCTGCAAAGCCCATACTGCAGAGGGAGAGCACTGCAAAGAGAAGAGTGGAGTGTTTGTGGGTGGAGCCACCTTACAAAACCTGGCTTCTTCCTCATTCTGATTGGCCGGATGGCCCACCTGACCCTCCTCAAACTTCTGCTCGTCACAAAACTATTTTGAGTCTTCTTCCCATGGGAGTTGGGTTGTGGCAGATTTGCCCCCTCTCATGGCATTCCCCCTAAACGGTAAAGTAAAGTACCCCTGGATGATTAAGTAAATGTGTTTCACATTTCTTCTTTATGACTGCTGTTGTAATAAATAATCCTTCGTAAAAGTTATTGCATTACATTCTTCATTAAATTATCTTTCCATTGATATATAATTTTATGGTATAACTCAGTGCTTTTTTGCCCTAAAAAACATGTTTAGGGGTACTCTCATTTTGACTCAAGAAAATCACCCCTGAAAGGAAAATAAATACAGTTCAAATTGGGAAAAATAAATACAGTGGTACCTCAGTTTTCAAAAGCTTAGTTCTTGAACTACAGTGGTACCTTGCAAGATGAAATTAATTCGTTCCGTGAGTTTTTTCTTCTTGCGAGTTTTTTGTCTTGCGAAGCACGGTTTCCCATAGGAATGCATTGAAAATCAATCAATGTGTTCCTATGGAAACCGCCTTCAGACCAGGTCCGGGGACAATCTGTCCCCCGACCTCTTCTGAAGGCTGGGGGGGGGGGGACAAGGGCTTTTCTTCCCACTGCCAGCCTTCAGAAGGCTGTTCTGAAGGCTGGCGGTGGGAAGAAAAGCCCTTCTCCCCACCTCCCGCCCCGCAAGCTCCGGGGACAGGAGGGCTTTGCTGCCGACCGCCAGCATTTTAAAAGCCCCCGGGACAGCGGAGACTTCTCCACTGTCCCGGGGCGATTTTAAAACTGATCTTTGCCATGCGCTGAAAGTGCAATGTTGTATTTGTATTACCTTTCCACTTTGCCTTTCAAAACCAACAGTAATGCATTATCTGGACTAACTTTGTCTTACAGGCCAAAGTCCAGAGAACAACAGTTCTTTTACAGGAGATGCACAATTAGGCATCTGAGCCACAAAGAGGTTCTCTGGTTTAATTTTTATATTCTGCTCTCTTGAACATTATTTTATGCAACAGAACAATAAGGGTGGGCGTAAAAAGTATTTACTGTCCTTTCTTCTTCAGCTCATATTTTAAATCTGGCCTTGAGAGATTATACATGCCATCTTCTGAAACACTCCTTTGTTGGCAGCAAGGACGCTGAACAGAAACCATTCATTCTGCAGTTCCCCTCCTACCTTCCTACCTCAACAGTTCACCAGGATAAGTGGGGAACCAGTAATACAGTTGAAAATTCACGGCAATCAAAATGTTCGCCATCATTTCAGAAATCCAATTCAGTGCTCTGAATTACAAACAAGTAAATCAAAGGTTCCTACCCATACCTGTGGTGTGTGTATGTTTGGTTCTCTCTCTCTCTCTCTCTCTCTCTCTCTCTCTCTCTCTCTCTCTCTGTAGCTCTAACGATGCAAGTGGAAGCTCCACTTTGTCTGCAAGAAAATCAAACCTATCCATTCTGAAGGAAATCAGCCCTGAGTGCTCACTGGAAGGACAGATCCGGAAGCTGAGGCTCCAATACTATGGCCACCTCATGAGAAGAGAAGACTCCCTGGAAAAGACCCTGATGTTGGGAAAGATGGAGGGCACAAGGAAAGGGGACGACAGAGGACGAGATGGTTGGACAGTGTCCTTGAAGCTACCAGCATGAGTTTGACCAAACTGCGGGAGGCAGTGGAAGACAGGAGGGCCTGGCGTGCTCTGGTCCATGGGGTCACGAAGAGTCGGACACGACTAAACGACTAAACAACAACAACTAGAGAAACTATACTGGCCCTTCCTTGTTGTCCTTTCGCCAGCAGGTGAAGACTTTCTTATTCCAATAGGGTGTGAGGAACTGACTACTTTTAATGAGAGGGTGGGTGCCATGCTATTTTTGTTGTGATTGTATGTTTTTAATAGTTTATATATATACACACACAGGCAGGTCCCACTTTACAAACACAACGTGCTCCCTGGAAATTGTTTGTTAGGCGTGTGTTCGCATAACAAGTTCGCAATTTCCACTGTTTCCTATAGAAACATTTCTAATGCACAATTTATTCTCTCTGTTTTCTAACTTCTCCCCATGGTTTCTTCCTGAAACAGATGCAGTGAATCAGCAAAAGAGAACTAAAGGGGAGGGGACTGATATCCCCAATCTCTCCTGCTCCCTAATTTGACTGATTTTTCCTGGTCTCTGATTCATCTGATCTCGTTTTCCCTTCCCTCTCTCCATGGTTTCTGCCCAAAAATGGTTGTTCTCGATCAGGAAAGCACACAAAAAAAATGAAGTAAGGAAGTTGGCTGTTTGGATAAGTGAATCTGTGCAACGTATGGTGATGTTTGGGCATAATTATTTAAATGTTGATAAGTGACATATAGTAGGACATTTGTGTATTTTAAATATATTCATGTTTAATTTTTTAAAAATAGTTTCTCCCCTATGTTTTAGGTGCTCTTATTTTATCTGTAAGCTGCCTTGAGTTTCTGGGGGGGGGAGATGGGGTATAACTAAATATATAACAACAATCATAATCTCTTTCCTTGTTTAAAACCCTAATTGAACATAAGAGCTAGCCCCTAAATTATTTTGGGGTCTGTATTTGGGTCAGGTTGGCTCTAGAGCAGCCAGGGCTGACCTGAAGTGATGGACTATGTGTCAGATTGGATCCCATATGTGCATATGCACAGCACAGGTTGCTTACTCTTGGATCCCTTTGGCCCATCATTGACCAATATGTACAGTGAATGCTCGGGTTGCAAATGTGATCCATGCGGGATGCACGTTTGCAACCTGCAGCATTCGCAACCCGTGTCTGCATGTCTGCGCACACGTGGGTTGCGATTCGGCACTTCTGCGCATGCGCAAAGCGCGATTTGGCACTTCTGTGCATGTGCGACTGCCGAAACCTGGAAGTAACCCATTCCAGTACTTCCGGGTTTCGGCGGTCTGCAACCCGAAAAAATGCAACCAGAATCGGCTATAACCTGAGGTTTAACTGTATGTGGTGTAAGCCTTCCAAAAGCAAGCTCACATGATCATTAGATGCATGTCAGCTCAGTCCAAATGAGCTCAATAAAATTGACTCCCAGGGAAGTGTGCCTAGCATTGCAGGCCAAATTATTCAAGATAAGCAACATTATGCAGAATTGTTTAATTTACATAAATGTTGACGATATCACAGTCCTGTATTTCAGGATTATCTTGGCACTGAATTGCAATGTATAGTGTGTGTGTGTGTGTGTGTGTGCCCTATGCCAATTTCTGTTGCTTTCTTTATATGTTCAGCATCTTTCCCTCTCCAGCCTTCTATCTCCCACTGATTGTTCATTAAGGTAATGCATTTAGCACCCAGCCAATTAAAGCCAGAGCTATGCGCTGCTATAATTCTTGCCCATCCATACAAATTGCATTGGTAGATTCCAGGGAATGGGGCCTCGTAAATCATCTGACAGAGCCATCGTTTTGAGCATTTCTCGTGGGCACCTGAACATAAATCCTGGGCCCTAGTGATTAAAATTCTGGCTCTAATCTTTCAGGGATTCCTTTTAGTTTCACTTGAACAAGATAAATAAAATAATGAATGCTTAGCAACGAGATGTGCTTATCTTGAGGTGGGTGGGGGGGAATAATTTTTTTTAAAAGTAGGAGTAGAAGTAGGCAGAGAAGACAACGCTGCAGAAAGATTGCATCTTGAGTGGGGGTCAATTTGCCACACCCCTACTCCCCTGGGAAGAAGGCTCGAAATGGTTTTGCCCAGGGGTTTGGGGAACTGGGGAAGGTCCAGGTGGACCATTGGGCCAATCAAGATGTGGAAGAAGCCAGGGCAGGTGAGGGACTTATGCCAGTGTATCTCTGGCTCAGCCAGGGTGGGGGAGAGCCTTATGTAGCCCTAGCTGAGCCAGAAAAGCCCAAAATCTGCTCAATCAAGACTTTGTCATCCCAGTAGAACTTGGGTATGGAGTTCTACTGGTTGCTGGTTTCATTTTTAGGATTGTGTTTTAGAGCACAATATTTAGCCATGTCTAGTCAGGGATGAGGATGGCGCTGTGGTCTAAACCACTGAGCCTCTTGTACTTGCCAATCAGAAGGTCAGCAGTTTGAATCCCCGCAACAGGGTGAGCTCCCATTGTTCTGTCCCAGCTCCTGCCAACCTAACAGTTTGAAAGCACACCAGTGCAAGGTACCACTGTGACGGGAAGGAAAATGGCATTTTTGTGCATTCCGGTTTCTGTCACGGTGTTCCGTTGCGTGAGAAGTGCTTTAGTCCTGCTGGCCACATGACCCAGAAAGCTTTCTGTGGACAAATGCCAGCTCCCTTGGCCTGAAAGCAAGATGAGTGCCACAACCTCACAGTCTCCTTTCGACTTAACTGTCCAGGAGTCCTTTTTTTACTCAGAATTAAGCCCCATGGAGCTCAGTGGGGCTTGCTCTCAGGTAAGTAAAGCTACAATACTAGGCACACTTAACTGGAAGTAAACCCCATTGAGCTCCAAGGGGCTTAATTCTGAATAGACATGTTTTTTAGGAGGAAGAGTTATTAATAAGACTGTTTACAATAATCATTTGTTAACACTGATAATTTTGTTCTTTCTCAAGAGTGCTTCTTCTTCTTAAAAAAATAAATCTGGAAAGATGACAAGAGAAGTTGGCACACTTCATTTTGCATCGCTATAACAATGCCTCTGTCTACTCTCATCTCCACCATGCACACATGCCTACAAAATCAGTAGCGAGTGAGGGACAATTCTTTCTCTCTCTTTCTCACTCCAGACATAATTAGCAAGGCTATTTCACATTGATTTGCATTTCCACTTTCTTTTGAGCGTCCACTGCTAAATTGAGGCATTTTGCTCCCTTTTCTTTAATAGTCCTTTCAGTGTTCCTTGAGCGAGGAGCAGCAATCCCTGCAGTTACAAGCGATTTTGCTTTGTTAGGAATGATGCCCAGTCTATTAGCAACTAGTCATTTGTGCTGTTAACAGCTACGGTGACATCTAATTGCTGGCCAGCTGCATCCCTCCAAGGAAACAGCATCTGTTCAACTTTACTACCGAGGGTGGGAGGGACAGTGGAAAGTTGTGCTACATTTTCAACAGTGTTTTGACTGCGTTGAGGGGAGGTTAGGGCTGACTTGGGTGAAGACCCCAATGTCAGTTTCTCTCAGCTTCTCATTTTTTAAGCTTCTCATTTTTCCACATCAATTTGCAATTTATTTATTTTTACAAATTCCTCATGAAAATCCATCAACGTTTTAGTACAGATGTATGTAAATGTGCAGTCTTGTATGCAGTCTTGCCTAATATGCACACTTTTTCACAAAGCAATTTAATATAATGCATTTTTCTTTGTCTTTTTCAATATCTCATGCACTGTATGCACATTTTACACAGAATAGGCATTTTTGTACACATTACTTGGCTAGAGAGCTGCACCGCAAAATTCAGAGAAATGTAAATTTTGAAGGACGGCTTTTTCCTCATAGGTAACATGTCTATTATTTTTTAAGATGTCCTCAGCCATGGTGAACAAGTCAGATCGAAATAAAATGATTTGCTGCCAGAGATGTTTTCAAAATGTTTTCCTATATTTAAAGTTTTCCGAATTGCGAGTTGCCTATTAAACTTTCTGTCTGGTATGTTTTTTGTTGATATATATACAAACTCTTGGCCTCTGAATGGCCTTTATAGTTTGCACAGCCACTCATTCCAGAATTTACTGCCAACCTGATAGCGGTTTTTAATTTAGTGAAGCAACACTGTAATGCAATAGTGTCCCCAAAGAAAGATCAGTGCCATTATTTTGCTGGTGTTAAATTTCTCTAATGAAATAAATTCCAATTTATGCTGCCTTTGTTATAATATATAACTCACTATAGAGGGTAAATGTTCCAGCCGCCTAGTGTAATGACATTCTAAGTTTCTGCCCACAAATGCAATCTCCACTAATGGGATTCATAAGTGGGTTGTACAACTGGTTGAAACTGATCAGAGGGAAATTATGATGAAAAGATGGGGGGGGGAGAGATATGGAGAGCAGGGTACGGCGGAAATTAACACATTAAGGAAAGAGAGGCTAACCACTCTCTTTAACCCACTGCATTCTCTTGCTTATAGAGTGGATTCACACATTATGAGTGCCAAAAGGATGCTGCGGAAAATGGAAGCCCATGTCAAATTATCTCACTTGCCTACATACCGTATTGGCCTGAATATAAGCTGCACCTGCAAATAAGTGAATTGAAGGGAGGGAGGGAAGAAAAAACAGACAATACCCAGGCTGCTTCCAGGCTGGGGGGGGGGGAGAGCCACACTGCTTTGTGAGTGGCGGGAGGGGTTGGCTCGATTGCCCCATGCTCCTGGGCTGTTTCCTGGGGGGGGGGATGCTGTTTCCTGGGAAGAGGGATGTTGTTTTGAGAATATAAGCCACACTTTAACTTTCCCCTGTCAGAATTTGGGGGGAAAGTGTGGCATATATTTGAGCCAATATGGTAATAACAAATGATGAGGAAGAAGTGTCCCATATGCAAGAGTTCAACCTGGCCACAAGACTGGTAAGAACCAGTTAAGGAGGAACCTAACAGCTGGATGTTAAAGTGTGTGTGTAATTCATTCGAGTGCAAATGGAATTCAACCAGTAGGTTTCACTCACGTATTGTCCCATATGCTTGAGGCCAGCGATGGAAATTTGCCAGGCACCAGGCGCCTTTCGCACCTGGCTCTCGGCCACTTGTGACCAAGTGAAGATGCCCAGGTGCAAGGATGACACCTGACATCTCCACTATCTGGAGGTACATACCTGGGGAATCCTTGGGTCTGGACTGTTTTCACATGCTAATACCACATCCTGTAGAATCCTATTCATTATATTTTAGTTGCACAATCAGAGTGAATTTCAGGAACAAAAAAAGTCATGGTAAAAAATACCACTTTCAAGCTGTCTGTTCCCAAAATGGCAACTAGGCATTTCATTTCATTGACTGTAACCCTGGCTTAAGGAGCCAACTGGCGCTTAGCTTATATATCCGAGTTTCTAGCAATCCCTGAGGCCAATCATTGAAATCACGGGGGAGGGGGGCACTTTTAGCTTCATGGACCAGAAACATGACTGATCTCAACAAGGACTCTGTGGAACTCCCTGCCATTAGAAAACAGGAAGGCACCATCTCTGCTAAGTGCCAGATGCTGGAGATTTTGCCCAATGAATGTCATGTTTCATTCTCTGTTGCTTTAATTCATGATTTACATTTCATATTATGTACATTTTAATTTCTTGTGA